AAAAGGGAGGGAGGAGAAAGGCCGGGGAAAGGGGGGGATTGCTTGCAAAGACAGGTCTCTTGCAGCCTGGTGATGTCCTGGCAGCTCGGCAAGTGAGCTGTGAAGGCACCAGCCCCCGGTCCCGGCGGTGCCTCCCTCCCCAGCCTCCTGCCTTCCCCGCAGGGCTGAACTGCCCCTCCGAGCCACCACGGAGGTCCCGGGGAGGGGAGAAAAAAGCACCAAAAAACTAGCAGGGTTCAAAATACGGGAACTGGGCCCCGGTCCTGATCCCTCCTCACCCACCTCCCCTAATTTTCCAAATAATTAAACAGAGGGATAAAGTGCCCTGTGGAGATGATTGCTTTCCTCCCCGCAGGGAAGGGGGTCTTTTCCCTGCGGCAGGAGCGTGCACTCAAGATGTCTCAACTTTTTTTGTTAGGTCTAAGCCGTCCTGTTTGAGCCTGGTCTGGCTGCAGGCACCACTCGCTGGACTCCAACGGAGTGTTTGGAAGAATAGACTGCGCCTATTGCTGCGTGTTTATTTTCTCAGCCGCCATGATCTTGAGGGGTCCCAAACAGAATATGAACTTGGAAGAGTTCCTAGAAATTTTTAAAATACATTTTGGGAAGAAATATTTGTCATTTCACTAGCAACATTAGAACAATCATTGTAGGAAATCCAAATGAAAAGAAGTAAACAATTCCTTCCGCTTTTCCTTCCTTCCTTTCCTTCCTTCCTTCCTCCTTTCCTTCCTTCCTTCCTTTCTTCCTTCCTTCCTGCTTTCCTTTCTTTCTTCCTTTCTTTCTTCCTTCCTTCCTCCTTTCCTTCCTTCCTTCCTTCATTCCTTCCTTCCTTCCTTTCTTTCTTCCTTCCTTTCTTCCTTCCTTCCTGCTTTCCTTCCTTCCTGCTTTCCTTTCTTCCTGCTTTCCTTCCTTCCTTCCTTCCTGTTTTCCTTCCTTCCTACTTTCCTTCCTTCCTTCCTTCCTTCCTCCTTTCCGCCTTTCCTCCCTTCCTTCTTTCCTTCCTCCCCCCTCCCCCATTATCCTCCTACTTCCCTTTCTTCATTAAGAAGGGGAGGAAAAACCACAGCTCTGTCAAGACGAGCGCCCTAATGCAGCGCTGGGGAGGTGGAAAGTGTTTGCTGCTGACCCCTGTGCACGCCTGGATAATCGCACTTTTCCATTTCAGACAATGCATTTCCAGTCTAGTCGTGTGCCTTTGTCCATTTGTATAAAGAAAAGAGGGCTGAATGACAGGTCCTGTTAGCCTGCATGAACAGATACCAATAAACCCTCCCAAAAACTGGATCTTAAAAAAATAAAAAATAAATAAATAAAAGGGGGGG